GAGACCCTGCCACCCCCTGTCCTCCCCCACTCTTACCTTCCCATTGTCCTGGCCCTGCAGCAGCTCTTTCCCCGTCGGGTATTTGATCTCGATGCCCGGGGTCTTGTCGTCCCGGTCCCCGGGGGAGCTGATCACGGAGCCGGAGACCTCGCTGACATCGCTGGCGGTCTCACTGTAATTGTCCCCACCATCCAGCATCATGTCGTGTCTGCTGCCGCTGCGCGGGGTCCGGGAGCCCTTCTTCCCCACGCTGTAGGCATCGAAGTCGATGGTTTTGTTCTCGTAGGCCCCCTCCACCGAGGCGAACATGCCCCCGTATTTCTGCCGGGGGGTCTGAGCCGTGGTGCCCGGCCTGGCCAGATACACGGGCAGGTCGTCTTCCTTGTTCCAGGTCCTCTTTCTCTCGGCCATTCTCGCTCTCTCCCAGGCTCTCTCCCTCCCCCCAGCTCCTCTGCACCTTCCACTACCGGGATCGGCTGCTGGCGACCATAAACACGAGTGAACGGATGCAGCAGCGCAGTGGCAGAGCTGGAGTTGGCTGGTGGGATCTGGGAGACGCAAGCCCCCCACCCGCGAAGAGAAATCTCACGGGGGGTTTCCAAACAGCCCGGGCAGTAGGCAGCACGTGAACTAAAGTACAAAGAGAACGGGGGAGAGGATGGCAGCGCTAGGCGATTGGAAAGCTCAGGGCGAATAGGAAAAGCACCGCACTAGCCCGCCAGTATAAAGAGCGGTCCAGGGGGAGGGGGAAACCCCTCTGGTGAACACCCCCCAGCCTGTGCAAAACGGACCCTTCCTGGCTACCCGCTGCAAAGATTGCGGATCCCTGCCGCTGCCTGGCTCGCAGTGAAGCGCTGGGGATGGAGTTGCGCCCACCGACCCACCCACTCGCACTATCCGCTGTCTCCGGGGGACGATACCGCGGTGCTGCCGCACTTGGAGAGGCGAAGGCTTCCCAGCGAGGGGGTGGGGGAGTGTGCAATGGGCAAACCCACAGCAAAGCACCTGCTGGCTCCTTCTTCTTTCAAAGGATCTGGACTTGGTGCCAGATCTCGCCGGGAAGCCTCGATCTTTGTAGCAACTTCGGGTTGGCTGCTGCTCCCTCCCCCACAGCAGAAGTTGGTCAACTGCAGCAGCGAAGATTGGCCTTCTGTGGCAATAGGTGCAGAGCAGGGGGGGAAACCCACGCACAGCTCCGGGTTCCTGAGCAGGGAGGGGAAAATCTGCTGCTCCTTTCGGCCGCTTCCCTGCTTCTCTCTGGTAGCAGCAGCAGCTGCAAAGGGAGGAGGGGGCGATATCCGCGCGCCCGGCCGCCGCTCGATCTCCCTGTCTAGCCTCAGCCTGGAGGCGGCGGTGGGTGAGACTGAAGCGTGCAGGGGAGGTAACCGCCGCGCCGCTGCTGCCTGCCTCTGACACGGAAGTAATAGCACCCGGCGCTGGTGCGAGCTGCACTGCAAATCCTCCCCGCCAGTAGCCCCCTGCAGGGAGCGGCCGCGACACTGCGCTAGGAGACTGCGCCTGCAAAACTGCCCCGGGGAAGTGGGCGGGGAGGGGAGCGGACAAAAGACTGGAGCGTTAGGAACAGAATAATGCACCGACTATCACTGCCCCAGGCTTCCCGCTGTCTGCAGCCAGAGCCGCGAGAGCCTGGCTGGGAGCTGTCCCTTCAGCACCTCAATGACCAACCTTGCTGCAGCCCCAGGCCTGTGCAAGGAAAGATTTACAGCCCAGTTGCACAACGGTGGTTGTTCTGCTGGTAGAGAAATAGACTTTGGATAGAATCTCACTGCAGTAAAGTGGACTTTCCCTAAACGAGCGTCTGTTCTTAAACCATACAGGAGTCTGAGTGAAAGAAAACAACAGGAAATACAACACAGGGCTGGCAAATAGGTAGACACACACACACAAATATTTGTAATAGAGTTGCGCCTTCTTATACCAAGGATGAATTGGGTCCATTATATTTAAATCACGACTAATCATTTCTTCTGATAACGATTTTTTAACTGCCATTGTAGTTAACAAGGAGTGAATTATGACCCCGATTTCCAAAACAAATTAGGGGACATTTTTGTAAAGCAGGCCAAGTTGAGCGACTGTCACTGCTTTATGTAGACTAGTTCAGAAAGTCTAGCTTTTACATCCTTAGGTAGATTTCAATTACAAATGTGGTTTAAAGCAAGTAACTTAAAACAATGATATTTTTCTGACAGTCAAAACTGTTTTCATAAACCTTGGAAATGCCCTTTGTACCGCAGCAGTTGCCTAAGGGATATTCTCTACCGCTCTGCACTTGCACAAAATGCTGCTGAGATTGATTAATAGGCTAAGTGAAGCTGAAGCATTTAATCAATCACAAAAGCTATTGATTGTTGGTATACAAGGAAACAATAAAAAGCAACAGAGAGTCCTGTGGCACCTTTAAGACTAACAGATGTATTGGAGCATAAGCATCCGACGAAGTGGGCATTCACCCACGAAAGCTTATGTTCCAATACATCTGTTAGTCTTAAAGGTGCCACAGGACTCTCTGTTGCTTTTTACAGATCCAGACTAACACGGCTACCCCTCTGACACAAGGAAACAATAGATATGTTTGCTATTATACAACAACCACAATACACTCACCCTTTAATTGTCTGAGGTCCTTAAAGCCATTCCTGGTGGGCCACAAACTGAAAACAATTGAGGATCAAACATTCTACAGGCCACAGGAGAAGTGGAAGAGTAGGGGTGAAACGATGCCTCCCCCCCCCATTGAAGTCAATGGTAGAAGTCCCCTAGGAGTCTGGGAAGGAAGTTAGTTCAGGTTAGTTAGTAACCTTCTCATACATACATTTCCATAAATTGAAAATGTATATGAAGTAGTGATATAACATACCAAGTCCAGATATAACATTTCAAAGGAATTTCTCTCCTGGACACTCTGATTTTTGCTCTCTTGGACTTATCAGTAACACTGGGAAATTGGCTAGATTGTTTGTATAACTGGTGCTGGGATGTTAACTACTGATGGTTAACTAACTGATTGTTGTGACAATCACAGTGGGAAGGAGTGAGATAGTTAGACACAAATACTCCTATCTTTTCAGAGCTGGCTTTCATAAGAGTTGCATCATCTATTAACCCCCATGCTATAAAATATATATCCTGTAAGGATTTCACAGGTTTGTAAGGAAATAATTAAAATTATTTCTAGGCTGTGACTTACTGAAATCCTTCTCTTGTATAATGGGCAGAAATTGATTTTTGTTGAGGGTAGCATCAGGGCTTATTGAGCAAGGTGAAAAAAAATCAGTATATTACTCCCAGGGATAATAAATCTTCATATTCAGTGAAACATGAGGTCAGTGTGTGTAATACTACATACATTCTGAATGTCTTCTTCATAAATAACAGGAAAGTTCTCCAGTAACGTGTAAAGGTGTAATTAATTTTCCTTTCCAATTAATATGCTAGTCATGAGAGGAAATTAGACCTCCAGAACAAATATTTACCTTTCATTGGCCAATCAGGAAGCAGAGATGTGCATATTTTTCTGGTTGACTCAAGGATGAACATTATCTTTTTCTGAAATCATCTAAAGCCACCAGGGATGTATATACGTGATCTGATGGTTAAGGCTTTTAGAATTGTTCACTTCTATCGAGGTAAACAATACAAACTTTTTGACTAATCTAACATTTTCAGGTGAGTGTGAACCAGGAGTTTTCTCTGGTCCACAGTAATAAATAATGTATTATTGCATCTTATAAAATATGACACTACACCAGGTGGTGCTTTACTAGGCTCATAGCTTTAAAATAGGAAACAATGTTTATACTTCAGAGAAAAAAATCCAGGGCACATAATATTGTCAAAATTGTTCATCGCTTTGAAATTAAAGACCTTCATAAAAGTAAGTCTCTTGACATTTTATTTTATTAGTAACTGTGTTCTAAATGCTCAGATATTTACATGCCTACAGTCCTGTCCTGTCTAAATTGCAGTTTTGTCACAAAGTTTGCACAGGAACAGACCTTACTCTGAGTCACAATCTGGTTCTCAGTTGCCTCCTCGTTTACCTAGAAAAGTGTGTGGTATGATATCAGGTTGTTTAAATATACCACCTTGGTAAAATTCTCTTATGGATGTTGTTTCTAATCTTGTCTCAAGATAGTTTGGAAAAATGAGGCAAAATTTAAGGGAACATAGACACTATGTTTCTACTAATGGATCTCCTATCTATATGTGTATCTATCATTAATACCAATGACATATGTTCCATTCAAAGGAGGTTAGACACCTGAGGATAGGCAATTGAAGTAACTCATATAAGCAGGTTTGCATAATTTAAAAACAATTTTTATCTTATAAAAAGCCTGACTGTTGGCAAAACATACATCAGCAGATGCTCAATTTTAATCTTAATACTCGTCAGCAATCAAGGCAAAATTCATGATCTTAAAGGGGATTTTCAGGGTCTAAAGGCCTGGTGCTGGCTTCCTCTCTCAGGGTCTTGGGAATCATAATTAGAGTTCAGATATTTAAATCTTATGGAGCTATTCTTGCTCAGTGCTGGGCACCCTGCTTGTAGTGGGAATTGACCACAACACAGAATTGGGTCTATGGTATTATTTTGAATCCAACAAATGTCCTATAATTAGATCTCCAAGCCCTGCAAAGACTTACATTCACATTTTGTTTTTTGTCCAGTCAGTAGTCTTATCCTGCTAACACTTACATTTGTGCTTAACTTTATAACTCACCATACATCAAATTAAGTATATGTATATTATGCACTGCAGGATTGGGACCTTAGTTCCCTAGTGTGCAGCACCAGGCTTTTAACTTTTCATATAGCCATATAATTCCCTGCCAAACCAACAGCATTTTTTAGAGTTTTATTTATACTGATACTTCAAAAGCTCTATGGAATGAATAACTAATAATTAAACATTTTAAAGAAAGTTTTTAATTTAAAATATGCATACATTTGAATATACAAAATTATGCAAATTATACATTTAACTAACATAGAAAAATACATCTGGATAACAAGATAAAATGTCAACATATTTTACACAATTTTAAGTGATAGTTACAAATCTGTAATAATCATAAGGTAGACTTTGTGACTGCATTACAATTCTGTCCGTCTCCTCTCTAGTTACTTTGAAATTAACATATATGTACATTTCATTACATGAAGGAAATGTCCTAAAATGAAATTCATTGCTGAAAAATGTAAACAAGATGGCTTCAGTGTAACACATCAAAATGATAATAGCATCTTTTATGTCACTCAAGTGAACACAATTAGCTGTTCCATTTTAATTCCTACTGATAGGGGTTTACAAATAAGAGTGTCAAGCTTTCTGCATTTATTTACAACAATTTCATAAAGGATCCAGCTGTCACTTTTGGGTAATCTATATCAAACGATGAAGCCCAAGTTTTTTGTGCATTCTTCGGCACTTTTTCAAACTGGTTCTAATTTGTGTCCTTAACTATCAGCTTTTCATGACTCCTAGCTAACATCACACTGTTGTGTAGATGAAAAGCTAATAGGACCTCATCCATATTTTGTGCATCCAAGGCTTTCAATTTAAATTTGGTCCCAAGAGGTGAGACAATATCCATCTTTTTCAATGCAAACAAATACTTCTAAGTCTTTACTCCTTACTTTAATTTACACGGGCTTCATGTGTTCAAAACGAAAGCCAGAAGCCTTATTTATAAACAAGCTACAAAAATCTGTGCCACGCTAAATCTTGACATTTACAGTGTAAGCCAAGGAGTGATATTATTTACACATTTTCCAATCCACTTTTTTAGTCACAGGAAGCAGACCAGAAGATGACTATTTTGGGGGGCTTTATTTTTTTCACGTCTGTATCCATCATTGCCAAATCTTTCATTCATAATAAGTGAAATTCACCCCACACAAGACCACTTAAAACTCTAAATTAGTGTTGTCTAGGGCCTTGTGTAGGTGCTCTGCACAAGAGTGAATTTCACCTAATATAAATTAATCTCTCTTTCAACATAGAAAAACAAATCCAAACAGTTCAGATGCTAACATATTTATATTTGGAAATCAGCTGCTACACATGTACAGTTACCCCTTTCATTGCAATTTACATTTACATACCATATTGACATAGCAAGAATCCATGTGACATAGTAACACAATAATGAGCACAGATTTACACCACACAGTAACAACTCTAAATCAAGTCAAGCTCTATACTCTCCTTAGTTCCCCTCTCCTCTGACCACATTGTCCCTGCTGTGCACAGGCAGTGATGATGAGTTAATGATATTTATATATCATATGTGCTGCACAAGTAAAAGACAGGGTGAAATCATGGCCCCATTGAAATCAATGGGAGTTTTACCATGGACTTCAATGGAACCAGGATTTATGCAGCACATCAGAGCTAAGCTGAACTTTCTTTGTTGGTTTGACTCCAACTTTAACATTCCTAGTTGGCTGATAATGACTTATATCATGGATTCCAATGGTAGAATTTGAAGTCGATGTTTTAGTTTTGTATCCTACTTTGGAAACAGCAGTAGATTTTGTAACCTAGGATATGTAAAAGGACAAAAATTCCTGTCCATAATACCATGACTACTGATTTCTAATGCAAATATGTTTGGAGTCCAAGGCACAATATGTCTTAAAGGAATTCTGCTGAATCAGGAAAGAGGTCTGAACAAGTTACTATAATCCCAAAGTCTCTCCTCCCTCTGGCTCCTTAAGGCACTAAAGGATTTCCAAAGGATTAGCTGCAAAAGCCAACATGCACATGTTTTTTCCACCAATGCAAATTCAAAATACTAAAATCCTTCACCTACATACTAGAAATACAGTAGATTTATGAAATATAGATGAGAATTTCCACTTTTTTAGGCCACAAATATCAATGATGCCTTAATAGGAGGTTTATTTTGAGAATTATATTGTGTGTATAAAATATTTCTTAGCCAATTGTATTAGCATACATTTAACATAATTATCATTCAGTGATTCAATCACTATATTTCCAGCATCTGTCAACTGTGTTGGTGCAAATAACAGAATTCAATTTTCCAAGGTGATATAAGGACCATTGGTTGATTAGAAATATGGCATGAGTTATATTTTTAACATCTTGTAATGCTCTGCACAGTAGAGTGTATGGCAATAAGTGAATTAAGAAATAAACCATATTTTATATTTTAAAATGTCCAGTTTGTCAATTCTGTGTATTTTGTTGAAAGTGAGAGCAAAGGGGTATATTGACATAGGAGGACTTAGTAGCAGCATCTTAACATTAATTGCAATTAATTTGGTCAGAAAGATATTGTGCATATAAATCAAGCCAACCAAAGTGCCCAGTTTTACATTTTGAGAAGTAGTTTACTATACACAAGAAAAGCAGCACCTTGTCAAATACAGATAATCAGTAGCTGTTCCATTTTATCCTGTTTGAATTTATCACACACCTAAGCAGGTCAGCCTACTAGAGAGAGAGGCAAAAATAGTTCCTTTGTCCTGCACAAAGTTTGCTTAGTGAAAGCATTTTGAACTGAACAGATTCTATAATAACGAGACTCCGTTTTTTTCTGCTCACCACAAGGCAATTGGAAATTAATCATTATGCTCCCTGCCTGGTCTAACCACAATCCACAAACTCTCATTAATAGCTTTGCTGCTTTATTATTATCATTTGAGTTAAAGATGAGATTTTAATTCCAAATCTTTTGACACACAGAATGAATCCACCCATCTACTAGTTTAATGAGCTAATAGTCTTTTATAATATGGAAGACAATTTTGATATTAGGAGGTGTGCAACTTAAGAGAGGTGAATGTGACATGTGCCACAAAAGAAACATAGCACAATCTATATTCCTTATGCTAATCATTTTTTTACATGGAGTGAATGGCTGAAGGCCTGAGACACTAAAAAATGGACAAGTTCATTATCAACATTTATATTTCATAGTGGGAGACTGTTCATAAATGCCAGGAAACATGCATGATGTCTTAGTTTAACACTTCATTCAAAAATAAGAATTAGGGTCTAATTGTATGCATGTTTTGCAAATGATATATGTGTTGCTTCTCTTCAGGTGGTACAGTATGCTAATGGCAAGAAACCCACATATGACACCGATTTATTTTAAGAGCGCTTATTAGTAGTTAAGCTGCAAATGTTGCCATGCCAACTTGTCATCTATTGCTAACCATAAATGCACATAAATCTAAAAATGCACATAAAATTAAACTGAGATGGGTTTCCTTATTTTATTAGCCACGTTCCTCTCTTCAAAGAATTTCTGAAATTACTGGGAGACTAACCACTGTAGAGCTCAGCACATTTAAAGGTTAGCTCAATTAAAATAACATAAATGAAAGTTTGCAAAATAGTTATCAAAACTGACTGTGCATTACATAACAAGGGGGAAGTTATGTAAATTAGTACCAAATTTTGCTCCCATTCAAGTCAATGGGAGTTTTGCTATTGACTTCAACAGGAGCATGCACAAGCCATTGAAGTAGGACTGTAAACACTCATATGTACCCTTACACTCCAGTCTCATGTGTGCAAGTACATCCAACATATCTTCATGTGCAGATAGATACAATAATATGTGCTTACCCACTTTGGACACATCAATGTGTGTTCTGCATGCATTGTTACCAGTTTGTGGATGCGCACACACAGGACCTGATTCAGCAAAGAACGTAAGCACGGGAGTAATCCAACTAAAATTCAAAGGGACTGCTCAAAGGATTGAAGGTAAGTATGTGCTTATGTGCTTTACTGAATTAAGGCCATAGGGCACAATCCTTCCAACTTCTGAGTGCCTATAGGTCTGGGATGAGTATGACACTTACTCCAGTGGATGTTGAAGGCACTCGGCACCTTGAAAATTGAGTCCATCTACTGCCATATCCTGAGAGGTGCTATGCACCCTGAACGCCCATAAAAAACAGTGGGATTGAGGTCCCATGTGACCCTCATATATGCAAGCTCCCTATAACCACATATGTAGGCATCCAAAGGTTGGGATTTGAGCAAAATATGAGAATTTCCTAAAAATGCATTAAAATATTAAGATTCTGTAAAAGATCTATATTTGATTGGTTTGCATCACCAACTTCCAGTGAAGGATGAGGGTCAGTAAGTCATTGCTGTTTCTCAGTTTTTTCCTTAACAAAGCAGCTGTGGAGGCTGCCAGACTAGACACACCCTTTGTGATATCTTCAGCACTGCATTGCTTTTTCTTTGCATGTCTGATTCATTCTTCCCTGAATAAAAAGAAGGAAAAATACAAATAAGTAACTATAATGCTATGAAATAAATATGCAGCTAGAGTTCCACATTTTATTTATACAGGGATGTTATTCAAGTAAGGCCAAGACAAAACATTTGATAATAAACATTACATTATTTCTAGTCTTGTATAGCATGTCTTGGCATTCATAGGACTCATAAGCTCTAGGCAGACTATGATCAATGGCAATATTGACTGGTTTGGAGACAACACAAATACACTGAAAATGGAGTTATCCCGAATACTTGTATTCTCTAACTGATTCTGGAAGTTTTAGGGTAGGAGACTGCTTCTTAACCTTGGCCAGATCACTACCACCGTTTCCCTACCAGAGCCCACTTGACAATGCAGGAAGGACAGGATGGTCAATCTCCTGACACCAGTTTGCCATCCCCAAATTGAGATCTCCTGAAGTAGGATTAACTGTGTTGAAGATTCTTAAGTGAAACTCACCCCTGTGCAGCAGGCTAGCAAAAATCCAACGCAACACATAAGTCTCACTTTTTAAATCCTCAAATTAGGGAGTATGTAGGACTTAAGTGGTTCATTGGCCTTGAGCTGGGTCCCTTAGTGCTGAGCAGGGGGGCAGTCCCGATTTTTGGAAGCACAGGTACCCTGCCCTCACTAGCATGACCTCACACATATGGTGCATGTGAGGTCTCAGTGTGTGGAGGACATCATTTTACTCTACAAAATGGCATCCTCCATGAGGCTGCAAGGAGGATGCCATTTTGTTTCTGTATAATTGCTGGAATGGCATTCTGGCCCCAATACACCGCTGCTGTTGAGTGGTCACATAGGCTCAGAGTAGCACAGATACATAGGAACAGTGACACTGAGAATTACAATACCCAACCTTTAGGCATCTAGAAAATTACAGGAACATAAAGGAATCCACAAAGCCTTAGTTAGGCACCTATGCTCCCTACGCATTGAAAGAGGAGAACTAGATGCCTTAGACCGCAATTCACAAAAGACAGCACAGGAGGCAGCCAGTGGGAGATGCCGATGAGGGGCACCTAAACCCCACCCCTCTCATGGAGATAGGCACCTAAATCCAGGCTGCAGGGAGGCACCTACCTCTGCTAGTGATTCCCAAATGGGAGCCCCTCTCCTGAAGTGACATGGCTTAGGCACTTGAGCTACTTTTCATGAGAATGTTTGAGGCAGGCACCTCACACCACACAAAGCAGCTGGAAGAGGTCGTTGGGGTGCCCACTTTATAACTTTTAGTCCAGTGGTTAGATTACTTGCCTGGGACATGGGAGATACAGTTCAATTCCCCCCCTGCCACTTGATGGGGAGAAAGGATTTGAAGAGGCCCCTCCCAACTCTCAGGAGTATGTTCTAACCACTGAGCTATGGTTTAGACAGTCTGATGTAAACTACCCTCAATCTCTCCTGTTGAAGCTGTTCCACTATGAGTAAATAACACTGGTCTATAATTTTTGAGAAGCCGTCTGCTTCAGAGATAAAATGTGCTATTTATTATGTATTTTGATGTGCTGAATTCAAATATGACAATTAAAACAACTGATTGGCTACTGTTTCTAAGATATTTAAGTTTTTACATTTTATGTCTATGTATATTGTGTAGATAGTAGTAGTTTTAA